CTCTCTCTCTCTCTCTCTCTCTCTCTCTCTCTCTCTCTCTCTCTCTCTCTCTCTCTTCCGTGATTTCTCCTTCTCCCCGGGGGAGGAGAGACGCCGGTAAACGCCACGCGAAAGGCAAATCCGAAAGCACAACGAATCCGAAACTAGTGTCGGACCCGGTTTGGCGTTTACACTTTAAGGTCGACTCACAAGTAAGATGGATGGCGGTGGACCAACGAGTCGTATGTGGTTGTCGCGCGCTCACATCCCGCGACACAACACCTTCAAATGGACACCTTCATTCAGTTGCACGAAGGGCGGGTGGGTGACACCGCGACACTGTTTAAAACACCCTCCTCCTCCGCCTTCTCCTCGCTCTCACCAAGTTATTACCAAACGATGTGTTATGTATAGCGTTTATACACTGCGTCGTAGATGCTGGCGATAAAGATACCCCAAGCCGTACTCGCTGGAAATAGTAGTGTTGGCGCGAAAACAAACAAGACGTTACTGGGCGCGCTGCTGCTGCTGCCGCGCGGCTTTATAGACGCAGCTCCGGGAACTGCGGAACATGTGGCGCCGGGTGCCTATGCGAACCCTCCGTCTACGATGACTCATCGCTGAGTGTGGCCACCGAGAGATTCCGACACCAGTCAGCATCACCTTACTCCTCATCCCAGCTGAGTCATCGATGAAGCAGCGTTCTCAAGGTAGCGAAGTGTGTGATGCGGTGGCCCGAAATAGCGGGCCCGGCGTTTCAGCGTCCCCATCGAGGTGTAACTGTTCGCTGAGATTACAGATTGGCTTCCTGCTGCGGCTAATCGCTGACATCCACGGGGAATGAGTCAGCAAGTGTCGTATCAGGGGGTGGGGTGCCACTGGCAAGAGGCAGGCGTTAACAAGTGTTGATACGTACGGCCGCTGACGGCAAATACGTCATAAAAAAGTGCGCATACTCGAGAGTGCCCACAAGTTACCTTCTCGTTTCTCACTATAGCCGCAAGTTACCTTCTCGTTTCTCACTATAGCCGCAAGTTACCTTCTCGTTTCTCACTATAGCCGCAAGTTACCTTCTCGTTTCTCACTATAGCCGCAAGTTACCTTCTCGTTTCACATTAGCCACAATTAAGTTACCTTCTCATTTCTCGATGGCCACAAGTTACCTTCTCGTTTCACATTAGCCACAATTAAGTTACCTTCTCATTTCTCGATGGCCACAAGTTACCTTCTCGTTTCACATTAGCCACAATTAAGTTACCTTCTCATTTCTCGATGGCCACAAGTTACCTTCTCGTTTCACATTAGCCACAATTAAGTTACCTTCTCATTTCTCGATGGCCACAAGTTACCTTCTCGTTTCACATTAGCCACAATTAAGTTACCTTCTCATTTCTCGATGGCCACAAGTTACCTTCTCGTTTCACATTAGCCACAAGTCACCTTCTCG